AAAACTCGGGTATGTGCTACTAGGGTTGTTACGAAATGAGTTTGTTTGTAGTCAATAATATACAAACTGACATTATATGAGTACAAAAAAGCCATTGTTTTGTCAGGTGGAACGTTTGCTGGCAATTTGTATGGACGATGAAAGTAATTAAAATTAAGCCATGATGTATCCAATCCTTTCAAATAAATCAACCGTGTGAGGCGTGGCCAGACTTGAAATCATTTTGTAAAATAAATGGAACATAGCAGAACTCGGACCAATCCAAAGTGGTGGCAAATACATATCTGATACGCAGGTCGGTTCGATATACGTAATAAATACAAGAAGAAAGTGGCTGCAACGGAGAAATGGAAATTATTATACGAACCCTCAAAACCAATTACTCGGTCATCCATCTACACACACACACACAACACGGAGGGAGTAAAGTATTAAAAAATTCTGTTATTTCTTTCCGAGCTACCCAGAATCTCAAGGATGAACTTGTTAATAAATACTTACTGCTCATTTCACTCGCATTGCAATTAATATGTCAAACAGACACTGACTTGGTGGTGAAATACGACACTTTTGGTTTGCCTAATCAAATCACTTTTCGGGTATTTTGATCTGGAAATTTCCCCTGCTATGAAATTTTCAATATTTTTTTACATTATTTTTAAAAATAGTCGGAAAACCGTGTTTAGCAGGGATAAATGTAATGACATCATTTTTACATTAAGCATAATATGGCAAAGAATATCAAATCGAGGACTGCATAATTTTTGGGATGGAAAGCCAAGATAAGTCCAGGAATGTTTTTTGTGCACGAGTGCAATTCGTCATGCATGGGAGAGGTCTTAGGCCTCAAAGTCGAAGCAGAATCCAAATTCAAATAGGACAATGACAAATTGGAGTTAATCATTTTGTCAACTTTTCCCTTCAATTGTTTTTTCCACGGCTTGAGGAGAATGCCAATTATTTCATTGGAACAACGCACTCATCATCATCATTTTCATCATCGTGGATCGCTTGCATATTACGTTAAAGCTGCGGTTTTGTTATTATACGAATATGTACGCTGCTGTTGTGCAACAACATGGCTAATCTGGAGCTGTGGACCAGCATCACAATTATTGGGAAGAGGTGAATTAATTGTGCGTATTACTTTGAACCCTTGGACGAAAACCGGAGGTGAACGTGAGACAGGTGAAGAAAAAGTTGATCAGTGAATACGTAAAAGTTTGATGGATGAGTTTCGCCTGACAATTCAACTGGATTGAGATGTTGCTTCGGAGAAGAAGAAGACGAAGATGCTGACGAAGAAATGTTGAATCAGGTTTGTTCTAAGCTGCCCTGATTTGAATGATTTGTCACCACACACAATACGACGACGACGACGACGACTTGAGCCCAAAAATCTACAGAAATTCCAAACTGTCACTCGGTCCTCTTCTTATCCAATCTAATGACAATTTAAATTTTAATGGATCAGGTGATCACGAGGTGCACAAAGCTCGTCGTCGACGACGACGACGGTTCGTTATGTGCAATAAACCTTTGACATGCATTTTTGATTATTTGGACACCACGAACCACAGCTGCATTACAACCCTTGGTTAGTTAACTAGTTAGTTAAAGTGATAATAACCTCAGACTTTTCCATTTTATTTTATGGCAACAATTCCACCGCTCGTAAACTCATTCAATGCAGGTAATTGATCAAGTGGCAGAATTAGTATGCAAGTATGGACTGACTGCGTGAAGCCTCTCACGGTTGGTTGGTCACTTAGTTTTATATTTTCGGGAAATGTAATGCATCATCGTAATTTGGTTCAAGTCATGATAATAAATAAAAAGCAACAAGACTATCCATCAAAAATCCTTCTCGAAATTGATACACTTTAACTAACCAAACAATGAAAATAAGAGTATACACAGGATGCCATAAAGATTATGCGAGTGAAACGACGTGAAAATTTTTGTATCCATTTTGTAGGAAGGAATGCGCAAAAAGCCAACAATTAAAATTAAGGAAAAATATGATAATCTACTTTTGCAGTAATATTTTCTTGGTGCTGCGGCACAAATCAAAATGAAGTCTTCTTAAATAAGATTAGCAATGTATGTAACTACGTGATGGCTGGCCAATAAAAAAGTAAAAAATTAACCAACTGAACAGAATAATAAGAGCTTTACTTGAGCTAATGTTTGTCTGTTTGTATGTATTTTTGTATGGAAGGAAAGATAATAATAATCCTGATGATCATCTCAAACAACAAATTTTCGAAACTGTATTTCTTGAAAGAAAGATTATTTAAATATGTTTTTTTTATTCTACTGCTAAGCGAACTATTGCATTGAGCCGAGAAAGTGTCCATTTCACGGTGAAATAGCTCAGCCGGTGCCTACACTCGTGTCTATCCATCTCTCCTGATGGGTTGGTTGGCATATGTGGTGCTTGTCATTGTGAAAAGAAATGCTGCAAAAGCAAAGAAGTTCATAAATGAATGGCAGTAATGGCACACATGTGGCATCATCAGATACGGTTTTCGAGTTTGGTTTTTGGTTCCATAGAGTGGATTTTTCTGCTCCGACTCTGCAGAACAGAGTTATCCTACAAAGTCATCTTGAAATGTTTGGAGCGTTGATTTACTTCTTCTTTTCCTTTCTCGTTCGTGGTGGTGGATTGCAGCAAAGCAGCATTTAGAAGAGAGGATGTGGGTTAAGAAATGAGCTAGAAATGAGAAATGAGCTGCTGCCGATTAAACCCCGGTGGGTTCCTACTGCTTTAAACCGTGGATAACACCGGGTAACAGTGATGATGGTGGTGGTGGTGGTGGTCACCCACGCCAAAGGATGCAGAAATGACGACAAGGTGGATCGAGAGGCGTGGCGTAAATGGAGATGAGATATCTTGAGAAAAACTTGTCACTCCTGATTCCAGTAAACTCTCTCTCCAGTCTCCAGTCCGGTTGCACTGCGGCGTGCGACAATTCTTAAGAAATGATGTACAATTTCCAGCTAAATAACGTGACATGTGAACGGGATGTGGTGGAGGCAGAAACAGGGTCGCTGACTCACAGACACCAAAATAAAAGTGCTATTTTTGAATCCGTCGAGAGAAACAGGAGCACATGCAACAGCAGCCGCTGCACTCGTCACCAGCAGCACTTGCCATCGTCGTCGTCGCTACTGCTGCTGCTGCGAACGGAGATCATGTAGCGTTCCCTTCTCCTCCTCCTCCTCCGTCACGAATTTGCTTAACAGGATGATGAAGAACAAGAGAAGGAGAGAGGACAGAGGTTTAATTTTAGTGGTTGACATTATGCACTTCCAGAGGTCAAGCTAGTCAAGGCATTTAGTATTCGGTGTCCATGTCATCAATGGTGTCGACTGACTGACCACCACCAATCGAATGGGTGTATGCGTACAAGTTCCGAATATGTGGGCGCCGTTGTTGAGTTGATCCTGCTGGCGTGGCTTCAGGGATGAATGAAAGTTCCTCTGGAAGTGCATCTTTTTTGAATGAATACGACACTTTGATCATTTGCAGCAGTTTCGAAAACAAATCTCGATCCAAAGAAAACTTGGCCTAAGTGCTGTAGTTTTAGCATCCGAAGAGGGAGATGAGATGCGGCAGTTGGAGTTGAGCAGTGTATATGATGATCTATGTATGCATGTATATGTGCCAGAGTCGTATTATGTGCATAAGAATCTCGGCAAAAATCATATAATCCGTTACTGTTTCCCAGTTTATTAGACGAATCCACACACTCATAGGAAAAGCACTATTTGGCTTGTAACAGAGAAATCCTTGCCAAATCGAGACACTTGATTTTTCGTAGTAAATAGTAGCTCACGAGAGGAGTAGTAGTAAGGTAATGGAGCTAATTAAAATGGTTCTCCGTTTGGGACCTCTCCAACTTTCGAGCACCTGATGATGTGCACTCCATGCACGGCAAACAGGCAGCAGAAGGCTTTCACTCTTTTCAGGGTTGGATTTCGTAATGGGAAGAAAAGGCCACCACTTTTCACTACCACCACCACCATCAACATATCAACCTATGTATTGGTACTTGGGAATTGGGGAGTAATTACAAAACCTTGAAGATTGAATATTGAATGACGGACCAAATTTATTGGATCACGGTGATGACTGAAGGTTATCGCACCTTTTGAATCAGGTTTGGCTTTGATCCTACGATGGAACCTGTCCCTCTCCTCAAACCCAGCCCTCCTCACCTCAGTGTGGCTAATGACCAATTATGCAGCTATTTTCATCTAATGATTGCTCAAAGTGCGTGCATTCGAGAACAACAATTTCTCAGAGAGAGAGAGAGAGAGAGCAATGCTAATGTCGTAAATTGTTGTCGGTTGGTTGGTCGGTTGGACAACTGCTGCTAAAAGACGACGTGAATTACATACTTGTTACATATCTACGTCGTACGTCGTATGTTTGGTGGTGGTCTATGCTGTCCAATTACTTTCATTTTTCCAAGATTGGGAAGGAGAGGAATCAAACAAGTTATAAATCTGTTCAATGATTTTCAATGGACCTCTCGCAGGTGAAAAGGTATGCAAATTTGCATATTCGGCAGCTTCAAATTGGTTATTGACCACTTTCGGCGTTGCATGAAAAATTTAAAAGTGCAGATATAAATCTTTACGACGTTTTGCTCACACACAAAGAAGAAGAAAAAAAAGAGCTCTTGTCAATCCATTCTTTTTCTCTGCTACGCAATTATATTATGCAGAAATTATCATAAAACTTTTTGTACCTTAATTCTTTTTACCAAGAATACCAACTTGTTCCATCCAGACGGGATTATCCTGTCTCGAATTGTCATATATTACGCAATGGGATAATCGCCGTGAAATCATGTAGTATGGATGGAGCTTTACAGATATTTGCATATATTTTTCAAGACAATTCGCAGACAGACAATTAATACGCCACTTGCAAATAAAATATTGGATGGCGATGTTTGATGGACAAATACAAGTTTTGAAATCCTTACCGTTTCCACTACCGGTGGTGATTGGTGTGTGTGCACTTGCGAAGTTCTTGATTTCAGTCGCCCACTGCTACCAGCGATGCTTAAAAGTCGTCGTCGTTATCGTGTTCACATTATTTTTTTGGACATGATCAATCACACTGCTAGTAAAATAATACTATACGGATGATTTCAAAATGTGTAGGCACCGAGAGGTTGACTTAGCATTAAACTTGTCTTCATATTTAGTAGTACCGGCAAAAAATCACATTGGAGTTGATGAGGAGACTTATATTTGTTGGCAAAATCTCACTGTCTTACTATTTTGGCTGCTTAACAATAATTGCACAGATTTGTTGCATGTGTAGAGGCACTGGAGAATGAGAACGTTTTTGTTTTTCCTTAAATAGGGACTCTCTGAGCACTTTGTGTTTCGTTTTGTGATGCACCACTAATTATTGCTCGAGAACAGTACCTACCTAATAATTTGTACCACCCATTACTAGACAATCTCTGGTTGAAAAGTTGGCTGACTAAATTCTTATTCTTATTTTTGCCTTGGCGTCGCCCTCGCTAAAAAAAAGTTGGCATTATGTAGTTGAGCAGATACAAGTTGAACAAAGTGTGTGTGACCACGTGTAGTGTCGCAGCACTTGACCGCAAGAGGAGGACGAGGCTTCCTCTCTGGCTCTTTCCGGTGGTGGTGGTGGTGGTGGAGGGGTCAGTTTTTGTCGAAAAAGGGTAGTCAGAGGTTATGCCTTGATGCAGATGGAGGAGCTCGAGGACGACGTGTGCCAACAGGATAACTGCTATGCTGGCTGGCTCTGAAGAATCTGCGATTTTCGGATCGGGTTGTTGTGAAGCGTGGCTGTGTATGGGGCTGCTTCTTATTGCTGCTCGTGTTCTGTGGTGACTGGGGTTATTCTTATTGGAGCCAGGCAGGGGAAGGAGATGCAAGCGAGAAACAGAGTCGGGTCGTCTTTTTTCCAAGTTGTTCTCATCGTTGGACTCATCTTCATCTACATCTTCCTCTTCGTCTTCTTCTTCTTGGGCAGGCAGGATTTCTTTTCAAGTTGTACCACCACTTGGTTGCATTAGAACCTCGTCATCATCGCTCTCCACCGACTTCGAAATCCGGTCCGGCTTCGGATGCTTCGTCTTCATTGTTGCTCTCAGCAGCAGCATCAACCTCCCCGCTTCATCGTCATCAGCCTAAATCCCAGTAGCACTCTTGTGTGCAAATTCTAACAGCAACCGTTTCGTTTTCTGCTTCAGAAACCAAACCATGCAGCAATCACTACTGCTAATTTGCAATAAGGGTCCGACCACACTTGCTCCTTCCATTATGCGGATTAAACGCTTTCTTCCTAATTTGTGTTCATGAACTGTTGTGCATGTTTAGCGATGCATAATTAACGTCTTGGAAATAAAAATCTAATAAAGTCTTCACAAAGCAGGGCGTATTTTGGCAAAAATTTTAATACTTTGTTGCATGAAGAAGATTATCACTACAGCGAGCAACAAGTGCAGAGCTCTTCCATTCCATCGTATGTACAGAGCATTTGTTGTTGCTGTTGCCCGACTTGATGTCCAATCCGTGCCGATCCTTCGTGGTCATGTTGATGATGACAACAACTGTAATTTCGAATGACATATCATCACCCATTAAATTTTAACCATCATCACATTTCCAGAGCTAATTGCTTTAAGGCAGCGATTCTTCTCGAGTCGGAATTGCTTCATTTGAAAGAGCAAGGAGCTGTTTGCCATACTAATGACTACTTATGATTATTATGACCAACAAGGCAGGGCTCGTGGAGAATAGAAGCTAGCAGCTACTGAAAATTAATCGCATGCAACAACCACGTAAGATAAGCAAGATGGTAAAGATAAGCAGATAATGATGATTACAAAATTCAGTAACAATTTTCCGATACAATTTTTACATGTATAAGTACAGGACATAATTTTTGCGTAATATTTACCGGGGATTTCTGAATGTAGACGGATGAATTTATTTTTTTTGTACAATGCATGCACACCTGGGGACTGAATTGCGCATAAATCTGATCGTGGCCGAACTGCAAAACACAGCATGTTGATAAGACTTGTGCTGACCAGAACCTGCTTCACCTGTCCACTAACTCATCCCTCCTTCACCATTGCGTGACAACCTTGTTGTTTCCTATCCCGAAATGAAATAAATATCTCTGCTAATAACGACTTGATAGATAATAATCACGGACACGGCAGGGACAGTCCCCTGTCGCTCGTCCTAGTCGTCGTCGTCGTCGTAACTTTATCTTCACGACCGGCGGCAGTTCGGACACATTTGCACAACTTATTGCCGCATAAATTAACAGCGTATTCAGTGGTCACCCGGCTACAGACAATTACTTATGTATTACCCGTTTGTTTAACAAAAAAGGCAACGTCTCGATCCCAAGAGGACTTTGACTGGACTTTGACGCTTGTCTCTAATCTCCAGTCATTCATTGGTTGGTAATTTTACTTCATACATACGACGCCTCACATACGAGTGCTTTCTACATGTGAACAGATAGACAGGGCATTTCGTGTGACAGGAACGGCAGGAGTTTGAGATATTAAGGAAAATAAAATTTGCATCTGTGGTGATTCTTCGGTGCTCGAGGAAATGGGGAACTAAACTAACTGCCTTTTTTTCTGCCTCTTTTTGCGGGTGCGTCCAGGATATATACAAGAAAGTAAAGAAAAAGAAGATGAGCAAAAATCTAAACCGTCTCCTCCGAATCATGTATCACACAAGAAGATGTAAAAGAAGAAGACGAAGAGGAGAAACAAGTGCAAAAACTCTGTTAAGCTATATTTGTCCATTGAATGGACCCTCCCATCACAAACGGCTCAAATAAATGCAAGATGATCCGCATTCGCTACTCCTCAGCATGAACTTGACGCACGACGACGACTGCATATAGTTCCAAAGTGTAGGGAAAAACAGAGAGAAAAAGATCATTAAAAAATGAGACGAGCACGATGACGATAAAATGTTCACCTTTCGTTCCGAACGACATGTGTTTGTTTCAATTATAATAAGAAAAATCAGAACAATGGGACAACCTCAACCTTATGCGTGGAGAAACATGTGGCGATGGCAGTTTGGAGAGAGAAATATATGCAACAACGGGGATTTTATTTTATCCATCCATCTCCTCATTCGGGCCTGACTATGGTTTAATTTTTATCCTCTTCCTCTTCTTCATTGTCGTGATACAGATAAGTTAAACTCTACAGAAAAAAACCTCACTTAACAACTTTAGCCGTTGTGATGGAGTGAACCTTCAAACTGACACGGCATGGCATTGGCACACTTGGTGGAGGAAGGAAGACGCTTTCTTCCACTTGAACGTATCTTCTATACATTCGCTAAATCTGATTGAATAACATTGATCCGATTTTCTAAAAATCACATCAACCCGCACACAATTTTGAAATTCTATCTCTCTCTCACAGCTCAATCTTTTTTGCAATGTGATAGTCTCATACTTCATCATCTCAGGCGAACGTCCATGTTTTGCATCGATGGCACCCACACGCCTCCCTCCGCAGCAGTTAAACTTATTGGACTTGTTTCTAGTGAATTGGAGTAACCCAGCAATCATCACTTATCTCCTCCACCCATCAACTACTAGCAGATATTATTATTATGCATGTATGCCTATGGGATGGCTGGATAGGAGATTTTTGTTCGAACGGAAGGAAGTGGGCCTGTTTGGGAGAGACATGATTAAGTGATTTTTATTTACGGGAGAGTCATGAAATAATGCGCAATTGCGAAGCAGTGAGAAAGAGCACCCGTCCGACAAGAGAGCCCGAGTAAGGACACATTATCCAGGAGTTATTATAAGCAAGGATGAAGGTTCTGATGGGAGGAGGCTGGTCCACGGCAGAAAATATGGGAGCCGACATTGCTTTATGAAAGTGACATAATGTCTCATTTATTTTGTGCCAAAGGAAAAGTACGGCGGAGATTGTAGCCATTAGTCCGCGCAGTTATGCACTGCATTAGATTCACTTGAGACATTTTTTGAGTTTAAATTTAGCTCAACAACTCTCTCCGTTTCGGTTGACGGTCGTCCCATCCATCCATTCACATAAACACTGTGCCACACTGTACGAGTTACAACCAACCTCTTCTGTCACACGTATATACTGCTGCCTGCAGATATCCTCTGACTGACTACTACGACGCTCCCACCAAACAACCAACCTGGCACGCAAGTAAAACAAAACCCACGACGACGACCACGACCACTCGTGTCACATGGACCTCCATCCAATCCATGCTCACGTATTCCCTACGCATTTCAGACTTGAAACCTATTACCATTAGTGCGGCTTTAATCTGTGGAAATTAATTATGACCCGTAGGAATAAAAATTAGCTGGCTTTTTCGTTTTCAAGCACAATTTTAAGAGCGGCATAAACATCGGCTTGTCAAATGCAGGAAAAAAAGCTCTTGCGGTATTTATATTGTAGGTTTAAATTATCCCGAAACCGATGCGAATATGTCAAAACATTTTAACAAGATGCATTGCCATCCGGTCCAGTATAAACTTGGAGTCACAATATGAAAGATCGTTTGAAATATTAAACATGTCACTTTATCGGAGCGCTTTGACAAGTTGGTACTAAATTATTCCAAGAACAGTCAACAGTATTGGAAAGTATTTTAAAATAAGTATGTACAAAAATTGTAAAATTAAAATTAATTCTTGAAATTAATTCTTGAATCGCAATGATGTTTGGACAAATTTCGAAATTTGTTCGCAGGAAGAAGAAAAAGATGCAGTGTCATACGAAATCTCAGAACTGAGGATACTTACATGTAGACCAATAAACTTCAAACTAGCATTTGATCCCTGAAATGTAATTGTACTGTCAGTGATAAGAATAATGACCACTTGTAGGAATAACTTCACTTTTATTGGAGTGATCTCGTCTAAGATTAATTAAGGTATTCTACTTTGGTGGATTCCAGGATTTTTTTGAAGTTCTAGATTGAGTGGAAGGTGGAAACTCGTTGCAGAAGTTGTTGATGTTTAATTTAACTTGTTTTTGTTCGTCAATATTCGATGCATATTTCATTTGGTCAACTTATGTAATAAAATAAATACATAAATCCAGAAAAAAATGAATTAAGAAGAATCAGCCAACCATGACCGATTGCATTTTCCTTTTAATGGGGGTTCTAATTTTTTAATAATCTGCAAACTTGAAATTAATCTTGGTGTCATTAGCAGCAAAATTTCGGTTCTATCTAACCAAGAAATTTAACTGCATGCAAATTTAATTGAAGTAATTGGAAAACGAGCAATAGTCTCTTGAAAGGAATAAATAAAGCCACTTTTATTCTTGACTCGAACTCCGTCATAATTGAATTATAGTGTTGGCATATGGTGTTAATGAATGAAGTAGTTACATAAAAACCCAGCTCAGGTCACTTCAATCACGATATCAGGAAAAAATGATTTCAAGTAGAAAACTGTTGATTTTCGTTGGAATTTGATGGATCAGTTTATACATACACAAAACATGGTAAATAGATTTATTTATTTTGCAATGTATTTACGTACTTTAATCTCACCCGATAACAAATAAGCAAAGCATTTATGGGCTATAACTTTGAATTTTGACATCAACTGTGTAAAAATTACGTTACTCAGAGTAATCAATCAGTGATATGTACATGAAGGGTAGTCAATTCCGAGTACGAGTATGCAGACGGATTAATCTCTCCGATTAATTAGAACTAGATTTTATTTTATTTCAGCAATGAAAAAAACGCAATTCAATTGTACTCATGGCGCTGTTGCGTCTCTACAAAAATTTCTTGGAAATCACGATGATAATCGATTATAATCCATATTTAAACGATATTTTTGCGAAAAATAATTTAATTGTCAATGGAGAATTTTGACTTGATTGTAATCAGGAATCGATAATAATCCACATAATTTGACTACCCCAATTACGAATGATAAAGTCAATCAACTGACCATTAAACCTTTTCCGTTCGTAGAATTAGTTGTAACAAATAATAACGATGTTTGTCAATTTCTCATTTATCATGTAGTGAAATGACTGACTACACAGTACGACCAACTATGAGCGTCAAATATACAAGTTTTTGATGAATTTGTGTGATAACAGCCAGATGCACTATTTCGTTAACACTTATTAAAGACGTAAAATCCGGCTGAATTAATTTCATCATCAACATGACAGAATTTTGCATATTCAGACCAAAAATCTCCACCAAGACAAAACAATATTGATGTCTTGCACACAAATAGTAATGCAAACGGTATTTTTTTTAGAAAGAAGATCAAATCGGCATCGTATTGGGCAGAATTTACACATGATAAACGAAACCGTATCGTACAGCTTGTATTATAGCATTACACAGATTGATGCACATTGTCCACCTGCCCGTGCTACATCACAATTAGGACAAATTGCAATTCCCAGAAGATTCAGAACAACAAAAATGTCATCTACGTACGTAACAGAAAGCAGTTGGGTCTGACGACAGCATATGCATGATGGAAACACACAACGACTTAGGTAGCTTAAAACTGGGATTTTGCAAGCTGATCTATTTCATGCATCCCGAATTGCTATTCCTAGCATGGATATTTAGAGAAGACGGTGTACATGCGATGCATTGACATTCACAAAGGCTCGCAATGGGAAAAAATAGTGATAAGAAGGTGTATTGCGAAACGATAAAAATTTGGTCTCTGGGACCGCGATGCATTTGCAAATGACGCAAATGAACGAAGAAGCGCTACTCCATTCAAGCATTGAAAGCAGTGGAGGAATGTGGGTGTCAAGAACGTACCGCGTTGAAGGAACTTCTAAGGTTCACATTTAATGGGTAACTTATGGAATTGGTTGGTTAAAAAAGGGTTCATGTGGCACAAATGTGTGTCTTTTAATGTACGGAGCGTATCACAGCTAGTGAAAGAGGGCTAGAAAGAGAGAGCGAGAGTGAAAGATGAAGAACTTTCTTCCGAGACATCAACAATGACAAGAAAAATAATGCACAATTATTTAGGGTGAGAAGTGCAGGTGAAGAATTAGAGTATGTATGTAAGAAGGTGAGGGGCACACGACACACAGCACACGATAAGAGTATACACGTGGGGGCTGATTGGTGAATGTGAGGGTACAATCTACTTGGAGAAGGACAACAATTACTTAGCACACGGACAAACACATGGATGGGGTCACACACATTAAATACGGAGAGAAGGGTAGAGCGAAATTGGCGATGGTCAGGATTTCGCAGGTTGCCACACTTGCCACATTTTCCACGCAAAATGATCACGTTCTTGGCCCATATGATGATGAGTAGAGGTTCTCGAGATGTCCCGAATATTCGGAGAATATCGGATCGGACTTTCTCTCTTTCTCACACTTCCTGCTGCTCTGTATCCTCCTCGGGTCTAAATTCATCTTGTATGCTCTCTTGCAAAACTAGAGTAAATGACAATACTATGCAAAAACTAGAATTCGCTATATTAATGAGGAGGTAAATGTTAAGAGGTTGTCATATCATTAAACCATAATTAACTGCCCCAGTAAATTAGGAAGAGCTGCACACAGGCAGAAATAAATAAATACATATAATCAAATATTTATTAATGTAATCTGTTTATCAAAAGAAATAGATCAGTCTGATTGTTTGATTCATTACACCGCTTCCTTGCTTTACATATTATAATGTATGGAATTGGAGAGATATCCAGTAAATAGTAATGAAACGATAGTAGGTTGATGACCAAGTCCATGGTAATAATGGTGACCCCGATTCAGATCAAACGCAATGCATATCCGATTTGAAAGAGTTTAGGCCGTGACGCGTTTGAAATATCGCTTCGCTTCCACTCCGGTGGGGTGTTTCATTGTCTAATAAGAAGTAAAATGTGCCACAAATCTTTTCTATTAGGGATTTATAGGATTTTACACATACCATCACGAGTCCGTCTTCAGAAAAATCATACTCCCGAATGAAACTCGTGTCCTCTCTGGTGCTGTCCAAGATGAATTTGTTGTCGCCCTCCATTCTCGCCACGGTCTAGATATTACACGGCAAGGGATGTTTCAATGATATTTTGTGACTATTGGTTTTTAATTGTTCTGCTCACCTCGAACACGTCCCCAGATGGGAGGACGTCCTCGAAGGGTTCATCCAGCTTGAAGGAGAGGTTGATGGTCCTGATGAAGGAGACCGTTTTGATGAGCCAGACGTCCTCTTCATTCTCATTCTTTTCTTGTGTGACCTGAAATTGAAATCACCCCGTTATTCCATTTTCACAGCAAATTAAAAATAAAAACACTAACATCAATGGTAGGGGATGACACCAACATCATTTTTCTAGCAATCCATGGAACACCTGCATTTTTCAATAGTGCAAATTTTTGCAATAACCACTCTCCAGCAAGATTAAATGTATTTAACAAGGTATTTTTACTTACCCGCAGCAGTATAAAATGCGTCCAGATTTTCATTCTTTTCTAGTTTGTAAGTCCCAATAATTTTAGCCATGATGGACGATTATGAATAATAATTTTCTCCAACTAATTAAAAACACAAGCAAAAATATTTCATTAATAGTGAACAAAGGAAAATTGAGAAATTCTGTATTACCGAGTTGTGTAAACTTGTTCCCACTTCTTCCCACTCACTAAAAGGTATAACTTGTTGCTTCGCAAAAATCTGTAGCTTGTTCAAGAGACTGGACTGGACTATGTGTCTTGTCTTTGACAAAGAAATATAGTTGGAAATAGGGCTGAAAAATGCAGTATGGTAGTAAATCGTTCCACGTTATATATTCCGTGTTCCAAACAAAGAAAGACCTTCAAAAGTTTTGGGTGGAATGAATGCAGTGCGATGCATCTAACAAAATATTATTGCCAGGCTGTTGCTTTGCTACTCCGCCTGCTTACTTTGCTTCTCTGATTACGACGAGGTGCAGATGCAAATGCGTAATAGAATAAAAGAAGAGCTGCTAACTCTGCCTGCCTGCCACCGCAAACCGCTCCAATATGGTGATCAACTTGGAAGCAACAAAGTGTGTATGGATCATGAAAAGCATGTCATAAAATCTGTTTATGACCGTGTATCCAGGAAATGAACTCACCAACGAAGAACGATGATGATGATGAACTCGATTTACTTAATCGTGGAGGTTTATGGTGGTCTTAATTGAACTCCAAAATTTCCAATCTGCATAAGTTGCTATGAGCTAGATAGATAGACTGGTACATATGTCTTTGTTGCTGAATGAACCTACTGGAGCCGGTCAAAATTACCATGATATGTGCGATTGATGGATGCATATTTATATTGACATGTACTGATAAATTTAAACTAGTTCATTTTATAGTTAGTAAATGGGTAGAACAAACAATTAGAGCGGTTGAGGAGATAGGAGATCATTCAGAAATGGAGACTTGAAGTGATAGCTCATAGCATTGTTTTTCTTCATTGTATTCCAATTTTGAGTAAATAAATTTCTGAGAGAATGGACATATTTGCTGCACATATTTGCTGTACCCCTTCTTGCGACAAGAAGATATGTGCAGCAAGGAAATTTAAGTACTTGGGTCGTCAGATTAGCGAACTTGTCGGCGAGAGGCAACATCTTAACATTAAAATTGGTATGAATTGAAATTGTCTTAAATAAAATTTAAGTTTGAGTACTGGTTACTCAAACTACAATTTACACAACTAATAATTTACATGTGACAAATTTACTTCTTACGCCACACAGATGTCATAAGTAAAGACTTGGCCCGGCTTGAGGATGGGGACCGACTGACGAACCTTCTTTTATCTCAAGATCCTGCACTCGCATTCCTCAATCTTGATCTCGACTTGGACCCTGAGAAGGTCAAGGCTCAAATGGCATTGTTCAAAGTAATGGTTGCCGAACACAAGGACAAATTTGAGAATGGTGTCCCCATAGGACCTTTCTTTTCCAGTTTTACTGTCAAGGTAAGACCTCCTTGGGATTAGTCAGATGCATAATTAATATCAGCCTTTGTTTCATCCATCTACAAGTAATGATTCCTATATTGTAGGGCGATCTCTGGTGCAATCTTATCGAGAAAATCCTTTCCCCATACTTGTTCACGTTTGTGGTGGACAGTTTCAAGGACAGGGTTACTCTTAGCGAACTTTTTGCCGAATTCAGAGGCCCTGTCGACTCGGGGGTTTGGTATGCACAAGCTGCAACGAATATCAGAATTGTCATTGTCCCCTTTTCGGAAACCGTGAGTACTGAGCACCCATTTTTACGTGTACTTATGTACGTGTCACCATTATTGAATAGTTTTATTTTGGCCTGACCAGTATACTCCACCTGAACGACCCCCACTCATGGATAAATTCACCCTTAACTGCACGTATTTGTTGGAGACACTTAAATTCAACGAAGAGTCAGAGGCGAACCTGTGGAAATCAGCCATCGGAAACAAAAGCAATATGGAAAACATTTATCTCTTTCAAAATGAACATGACGCCTTCATCTTTATGCATGCTCAATCCAGGTTTTTAATACGATTAAAAATTGAACCCACAGTACAAGTATTTTTTTAGAAAGCAATTCAATCTACTAATTTAAGCCGTCCTCCAACCTCTAAAGCGTTGGCATACAGCTTGGACGGATATAAAATATTTCCCTTTCCTGAATTTAAAACTGCAGCTATTCGAATTCCGAAGCAAGCCTCGTTCCTCGAGGTTGATCGGGGTGGCGATATAACGTAAGTTTGCTTATTTAATAAATATTGCCAACACTGCATACAAAAATTTCTACAAATAACAAATGAATCATAATGCAAGTGCACATCCTCTCAGATTTCTAAAAGCCACATTGGATGATCTCATCGAAACCAGGAAACTTTACGACCTCGCCATCAACGAAGCACGAGACCTTCAACTCGCTGCATTGGACGATTTGGAATTTTTAAAGCAGCTCGATCGTAAAAATCGTACCCGCAAACAAGCCGCTGACCAAAATATTACCCATTGTTCTCAGAAAGAAGGTGTCGATATCGCAGCAGAAAACACATTCCAGACGACATATTTGTAATCCGGTCATTAATTTAATGATGTCTAGTCACAATTAAATTTTTAGTCTACAAGCTCAAAAGCAACATTTAAATGAAGAATGAATTGTCAATTTTGCAATAATAAATAAGTAAATTAAAAATCACGAGAATCAAAAAGCCTTGAGGAACCGAAGACTCCGAAGAGAAGCGAGTCGTCATTTTCCATGGGCTGAGATTACATATATTCCTTTGCATGTCCTCGCCTTGTGCACATTTCTTGCTGGCTGCTGCTGCTTGGTATACATATTGTTTTGATCTCTCTCCTTATGATTTTTGCGTGCTGCCGTTAGTATTATAGATAGAATAGATATATTATGTAATCTGTGGCATTAAATCTGAGCTTCTCTGAGCCACTCGTTGATAACATGATTTGGTTGCAAGAGGCTGGCTAGAAAGAAACCTGGTGTCCTTCTTCCCCATTAATAATAATAATCCAGTCTTCTTGTACTATAGTGATTGCTCCACGGTAAACTAATACATAATAACGGTTGGTTAAATAGTTAGTTAATAGACTTGAAGAGTGGTCACATCACAGCAACGTCTTCTTCATTATTGGCAGGTCAGTGTAAACACGTGGTGATGGTTGTTGTTTGTTCTCGTGACTTTCTCCTTCGGCAATCATCGGCTCATTTGTTCTTAATAATAAGAAGGAGGTGTTTCAAATTAGACACTTGGCTTTTCTTAGTTTGACCTGTCTTTGTGTTTGGCAGGTTGTTGGTGCGGAACGAAGCAATAAGACAGCAATACTTACATTTAGCACGTAAAAGGTAATTGTCCTACTTAAGCACTACTACTGCACATCAAACAAAGGAAATCGACAACGATGGGTGGAAAATGGTCAAAGTTGAGCCCGGAGGAAATACCGGTACCGGAGATTCAACAATTATTGGACAGGGATCCGTACCTGAAACCGTATGAAAAGGACATTCGGCGCAGGTGGGTGCGGTATACATTTGATGGATGTGAATTTTTGTAATAAATTTAACCGGTGGTTGCAGATATGGCGTCTATTTGGACTGGGTGGACGGAATAGATGAACAAGAGGGTGGGTTCGAAAAATTCACCCGAGCTTATGACGAATATGGAATTCATGCTCAAGCTGACGGTTCGATTAAGTGTCGAGAATGGGCACCGGGCGCAGAGGCATTATTTCTTACTGGAGACTTTAGTACGTACTGATATTTATAGTCATTTCATGACTCGATTACTTTTTATGATAAGGCTTCATAATTACATTGTGTCCTTAGATAAGTGGAACCGGACAGAGTTTCCTTACACCAAGGAGGAGTATGGCAAGTGGTCACTAACAATTCCTCCTAATTCTGATGGCACCCCTAGAATCAGACATCTCAGCGAAATTAAGGTCCTTAATAAGTTGCCTTAGCCAGATTTATGTGCATAACTATATTTTAAATTTTCATTCCCATCTTATTAGGTTGTCGTTAAAGATAAGCAATGGAATCTATGGGATAGAATCTCACCATGGGCCACGTACGTCGTGCAACCCCCGAAGGAACAAGGATACGTTTTTAAATGGCTATTTTACAATCCTCCAGCGGTGAGAATTATGATCTTTTAAAGAAGTTTGTAATGGATTAGTTGTTCTTATAAAATTATTGCAAATTGTAGGAGAAAAAATATGAATTTAAGCATCCAAGACCCCAAAAAACTTTGAGCTTAAGGATATACGAAAGCCATGTTGGTATCGCTTCGGACGAGCCCCACGTGGCGACATATGACCACTTTACAGATGAGGTCATTCCTCGCATTGTAAAATTGGGTAAGCACATGTGTATAGTACACTTTACTAATTAGGATATTCGTAAATTAGTTTTTGATTTTTTTAGGGTATAACACAATACAAATGATGGCCGTAATGGAGCACGCTTATTACGCCAGTTTTGGATATCAAGTCACCTCTTTTTATGCGGCATCAAGGTATTAAAATCAATAATTTAAGTTATCTGATGATTTTGGCCGAAAAAAATTCTGGGTGAAATAGTCGATACGGAACGCCGGAGCAGCTAAAAAGACTGGTTGATGTGGCTCATCAAAATGGACTTAACGTCCTCCTGGACGTTGTTCATTCCCATGCTTCCAAGAATGTGTTGGACGGTCTGAATCAGTGGGATGGTACTAATGCTGGCTATTTTCATGACGGAGCCAAAGGTGAACATTGTCTCTGGGATTCTCGTCTGTTCAATTACAACAAGTAACACATCTAACATGGGTACAAATGTATTCATTATCGTGCATTGTAACTAGTATTTTCTTGCTTCTTACAGTCATGAGGTCCTCCGATTTCTCCTCTCCAACCTGAGGTGGTACTTGGAAGAGTATAAATTTGATGGATTTAGGTAAATCAAATAATAAAAATTTACAAATTGTGTGTCAATCATTTGTCAAACTTTTTATACTTGTGCATTTAGATTTGATGGCGTGACTTCTATGCTGTATCATACTCACGGAATGGGTCACGGATTTTCTGGAGATTACAACGAATACTTTGGCATGAACACTGATACGGATGCAGTCGTGTATCTAATGCTCTCTAATGCCATGATTCATCAATTGTACCCGAACGCCATCACTATTGCTGAAGTATCTAAAAATTACTTTAACCCTCATCTGCACCAAATTTATTCAGTTACATATACATCACTTGTTCATTTAATTTAGGATGTATCCGGGATGCCTGGAATCTGTCGACCTGTCACTGAAGGCGGAGTAGGGTTTGATTATCGGCTAGCAATGGCCATCCCAGACAAGTGGATAGAAATTCTCAAGAAATTCAAGGTACAATCTTATGTCTCACTCAAGCACAACTTTCAAAGTATAGTTTGTCATTGTCTACTTTGAATGTCTGATTAAATTGCAATTATATTTAATTTAGGACGAAGACTGGGACATTGCTAATATAATTCACACGTTGACTAATCGACGTTGGATGGAGAAGGCAGTTTCATACGCTGAAAGTCACGATCAGGTAAATTATCATTGTTCTACTAATCTGATAAGTGCTCAATATTATATTTCTCTTTAATGTACAGGCTCTGGTTGGGGATAAAACTCTTGCCTTTTGGCTGATGGATAAAGAAATGTATACGCACATGTCTACCCTATCGGAATCCACCCCGGTGATAGAACGTGGGATTGCACTCCATAAAATGATTCGACTCTTAACTTGCGGACTGGGTGGAGAAGCATATCTCAATTTTATTGGTATTTACTAGATTGAGCTATTTTCTATGTACGTAGTTCACTTCATGGTTTTATTTGGAAATTTACAGGCAACGAATTCGGTCATCCTGAATGGCTCGATTTTCCTCGTGAAGGAAACAACGATTCGTACCACTATGCCCGACGACAATTTAAGCTGGTTGACGACGAGATGTTAAAGTACAAGTTTCTTGCAAAGTTTGACGCTGCTATGAATCACTTGGAAGCAAAGTATGGTTGGCTCCACAAGGATTCTGTAAGTACGAATATGTAACTAACCTATCCCTTTCTTCTAGCAATTATTTTGCTAGTTTTTTTCCAATTAAGTACTAACCAGTTGTAGTTTACATCTTAATTATCTGTGGATAGGGTTTCGTGAGCGTGAAGCATCAAGGGGACAAAGTGATAGTTTTTGAACGAGGTGGTTTAGTATTCGTCTTCAACTTCCATCATTCGAGCAGCTTTCCGGACTACAAGTAAAAATTAATGGATACGAGGAATTATGAAGACTGAACAAACCAGTGGTGATTAATATACATATTTTTTTATTCCATTACTCTTGTTTGATAGAATCGGTGTGGACGTGGCTGGCAAGTACAGGATAGTGTTGGACAGTGATGAACAAGAGTTTGGTGGTCACCATAGGTTAAATCACTCCACGGACTATGACACGATGAATGAAGGGTTTGCCGGCCGACGTCACTCAATGATGGTGCGCTATCATATCCTCCTTATTCTCCTATACTTGGCTTGACTTCTTCTTCTTCTTCTGGAATGACGAAAGTTATTTTTTGTCTCTCCGTTTATAGGTGTACATCCCATCCCGGACTGCGTTCGTCTTGGCCAAGGTGGACTAGCAGAAGAGAAGGCCTAAGAAAATACAATCAAGTTGCAATCATCATCATCATCACCGTTGTCAATCAATATAAATTAAATGAACATATTTTTGTCATTGTTTTATCAACTTTAGTCACTGAAGAAGTCACTGCTCAGATTTTTAATGTGGTGCCAAAAACACAAAATTTATCAAAACTGATTCACTACATATACTGAATGGCTGCTATTTGGGTGCCTTGTAACACAACGAAGTACATGCAAAAAAGTAGAACTATATTATTAAGTACATGTAATGTTGATGTGAGAAATGCTTTATTACAAACATAATGAGACTATCTCAATAAATCAAGTGATACATACATTTGCTGCCAATCAAGAATTAAATATTCGAGAGTTCACATTCCTACCCATTTTATAATTTTCACATATAAAAAAATTGGCCAGACTTATAACAGACAGAGCAGATTTAGAATTACAGGTTTGCTATTATTGAGTGCTGTCTCGGAGGAGGACTTGTTCCATTGCTGACAAACTTCAGATGCGATAAGATCAACTTCATCGCAAATATTTATAGGAGGCCGACACAACGAGTGTTTTAGCATCCACTTAATATACATCTGTACCAGCCTCAAAACCTCAAAAACTACCTAAATCATTATATGTTGATCTGATAACCGTAAACTGCTTAATTTTGCATATCATTTTCCTTGCCAACTTACATATAACTTGAACTTCAAATTTGTAAACAAAGTTGTTAAAATGTGAGATTTTTGCATGGTATTACCGGAGGTGGTCTGATCTTGGTCCGTCGGTGTCACGTCCAGGGGGTAAATTGTTCTTCTTTGAATTCGGGATTATTAGGTAACTCTCTAATCACCAGTAATAGGTACATTTCTTAATGGCATACTAAGCAAACGGCTGAACTTATGCGCATTCACAACGAATACACAATTAACAAAATGAAATATTTGTCTTTAAAAAGCGACACGAAGACAAAGTAAGACTAACTTTTTTTCTGCGGTATTATTGTAACTTTACAATAATACCGCAGAACTTGCAGCATTCTGAGAATTGATAAATGTGGAATGACCACTTGTTCCATAATCCAGAAGACTAATCGTCTAAGAAATTTTGCATAGATAATCATTTTGATTATACTTTTTTTCTCATATCGTCCAAGGATTGACCACTCATATTTCATTTCGATTGTCTGGCAGAGACTAATCCTCGTCGGCACTTTTGCCAGACATTTTTCAGCATCCTTCATCGCACAATAACCACCCAACTAATATGAAATACCGGAATTTAGCCATTTTTGTTAATGTGCAATTAATTTTTTATATTGCACAAATGCAGGTAATTAAATAATTGTGCTATTATTTTCATCCTATCTTGTAACCACTAAAACAGTGTTGAGGTACATTTGTTGGACTTAAATTTTATATTTACAGGTACCAGTCATGTAAGTTTTAAAATACGATTGCGACATGTTTTGACATGCCACGTTAATGTCTCATATGTTTTGACATTTAGTTATTGCCAATTTGATTTTAATTTTCTTCTTGTAACCAGATTTCTCTAATCTCGAAATGCATCATCGTATTTTGTCTACAATTGTTAAAAATGTCTTCATTGGTTAATTAGGAGAACAAAGGTCGCACTCGTTCCGACTTGGTGCACAATTATGTGTCAAATTGCACACTGTTGAATGGGTTTCGCTATCTCATACAGTGACAGTGCTTCTCCTTCTACATTTTATGCATGCACATACATATGAATGACGACCATTATACAGTTGTATGTACGTCTGCTGTACTGGACCATTATCCGTTCGTGCTTGCATAATGTCTGGTAAGTGATATTATATTGGCGATGGATGATATGATGATGATGATGATGATGAGTAACGAGATTTGTGATGGACAGTGTCCAACTACCGCATGCATTATCGTAATATGATGATGACGCCTTCTCGGATTTCGCTTCTCCGACTTTTTTAACATATGTACATCTACTAATCATCTTCTGATAATTACACTCCTTATGCTGGCTATAACACACATAATAATATCTCATTTGCATTTTCCTATATACGCCACACTCCAACTCTATAAAAACGGTAATGTGCTTGTCTTACTTGCTCCTCTTCTCTCGTCGTCTCAACTCTGAGGAGAAATGAAGCGACTACTGTGAAGGTAGGTGGAATTGCAATGCATTGACTGAGGATTGACAATTTGAATAATTTTTTCGTACTACAAAATGAAAAATGATTATTATTATGAGATCGGCGTGGTGTGCGTCAGTCAGTCGATTCAGATTTGAATGAGATTTCAATTGCAACAAAATCAACACAACTGTATACCACACACAAGTGACCAAAAAAATAAACAACCATCACATCAATATTTAATAGTTGAAAATTTAATCAACGGAAAAATTCGTATTTGTTTTCAATGCAGCATTCCTTTCCCTCCTCTGCCTGATCGACGACGAGGCGATCTGCCTGTCAGCAAAACATCGGCTTTGCGGATAAGAGTCTTTTATTAAATCTTGAACAAACAAGACCTAGATTTTTTCAATTGCAACACACAAGAAGAAATTCAAGTTCTGAGTACAGCGATTTTATCAATAGCAATAATTAATTACCGTGGAGGGATTCGTGACGTTGTGATTTCATTAACTTCGATGGGCTAATAAATAGCTAAACCGCCCGGCGGCTGTTACTGTCATCTCCCAACCATGCGACCGACCGATCGACCTGGGAGTCAAGCGATGCGATGACCCTGGTTCAATTATTTATAAAACATTCGATTGGTGCCCACTGTGGGAACACTACTGATAGCATTATTTTTATTACTTCAATAATTATGCAAATGAAATCAATGAAAAAAGACACGTTTTTATACCAAGCGCTTGCTTAACACAGTTCAGGTTTTGAAGTATTTTTTTTTCATTTCATGTCGATGCAGTGTTGACAAATAAAAAATAATAAAAAATGAGACGGGCAAACGGAAGAAATCTTATGATGAATGAACCAGCTACTTGAAACTAGTTGCAAATTTCCGGTATTATGTACAGAGTGACTCGTACTGTACACTATTCTTTGCCGAGTTTAATTAATTGAATGCTTGGCGCAGTTTCATCATCCGACCAATTTTTAATTGTCAATACATTGTGTACAGTGGAAGAAATACATAAAATATGGACCAAGTGGACGGGTTAATTGGATAATTATTGAGAGGAATAATGAAGAAAGTACCTCTTGTTCCCACATGCAACAATGCCATCACCGCTTCTTGAAATTTCATAACGTGCTAAAATGAGTAATTGGCAAGGTGCAAGTTTTGTGCAGCTGGGTTACTTTGTGTGTATTGCTGCAGCCTATGGCGTTAATTAATCTTTGCATGTTGAAATGAGGAGAGACAAGCATTTTGAAAACGGGTGCATCAATTATAGTCAGTTTCTGCCTTTTTTATGTGTGAGATGATTACGGCGATAATTTTTTGTGAATAGAAAAAAAAGAAATCGCATTTTTTACCACTTGATGATTCTTTCGTATTCCTTTTGAAAAGTTGTTGGAACTGGTTAGTAGCTGCTTGTTGTTCTTGGTTCATGCAAATTTCAAGCCGGATTGAATGACAAGTGGAGTTTAAAAGAAGTTATGTCTAAACGGAGTTTTAAGATCTGTTGATAAACGACAGAAACGAGAAGGACGGAACTATTGTTTTTTTTCTACACGGCATATTTGTAGTGTCCACCATACAGTTTGCACTTCTGAGCATCAGGGAGGTCCAAACAATTGTGTATGAATGGGCAGTAAAAGTAAACCCCTGGCTGTGCGATTTGGACGAAATATGAAATACATAAATATGTGCATGAATTATGCTCTTTAACTTTTCCCAGCAGTAATTAAATTAGCTCGTGGTTTGTATCAATGGAAGAAAAAAAATCATTCAGGTGATACAAATTGTATCATACAATGTGCAGACTGGAATCAAATCTCCAGATTGACACTTTCCCCACAAAAGATAAAGCTTTATTTTAGAGATTATTATTTAGGAATGCCTTGTCCGTGTCCAGATAACTTTGCGAATTTCGACATTTTCAAACAATTGAACTGATTGCAATTTCTATTTATCGGAAGCTATAGGGCTTTTGATCCCTTCGTCGAGATCGGTCTGACTCATGCTTAGTATCGGCAGGCGATGGCGGAGCAAATTGGCCAAAGTATTTTTAGAGAATATTAAAAATCCTCTTTCACTGCCATCTTCATATAAATTCCAAAAAGTAAACAAACTTTTCACCAGTTTTGATGATAAATTATAATTAGTAGCACAATTTTTCAAGTGATCCTGTCAGTGAGACATTAAAATCAAGTTTTAGACTAGAACTACTCGTTGTTTCATTTCATAGAATCAGACACTTTCTCGGGTTCAGACTTTTGCAACACGTGCCTCTACACGTAACTTGAACTTGGGTCAGACGAAAAAATTACCACGAGTCAACTCGGACTGGACTTGGAATTTCTTAATTAATACCGTCGAGCTAAGTTGACAATCATGATTGACCGTGTGGTGGGTTGATCCGTCTCCAAAAATGCATCGGTAGTAAGTACATAAAATATTTATGGCTTTGATGAATGCAATGATAAAATTAAACCACTCGCATGAGAAACTATGCACTAAATTGTTATGTCTTTGCAACATTTGATGAACGAAACAGGCTTTCCAATACTTGCTGCTCGTGTTCTTCAATGAATTAATGACCTTAAGTAAATAAATGTGTAGGACCAAGTAGTTTTGTGACTTTAGTTCATTGGATTTATTGTGTTCAGACCATTGAATAAAAATTAGTGACAGTTCATCTGGCATTTCATAAAAATTTAAAAATGATGTCCCCCTTTCTCTCCACTACTACTCGTGCATGGTATCGTATGTATTTAGACATGAACTCATATATTACTACGTAATAAGGATAAAATAATATAATTATAATAATGATAATAATAATAATAAAATTAATAACATTTGTTGTGTTGTAAGGAATAAAGTATATTTGTTTTAGATTTACAGCCTTAACAGTTCACAGCAGAATTGCAGTCGATTTATATTATATATTATATATTATATCATCATATATATATTAATATAGTATTTTAGTACACATATACATAATAAGTTATCCATCTTCATCCGTACTATGACAGCTACATAATTACTTGGCTAAATGCCTTTTAATAATTATAACCAGAGAAAAAAGTGCATGAGGTAAGTTGAGAGGATCACGATATCAAAGAGCTGCTGGGCCTCACAGTACATATATTTTTACAATTATTTTCATCACCATCGTATATTTTCAGCTAGCAACGAAACATAAATATGCATGCGAGCAGAGGGGGCGGGGGGTTTATATATTTTTTAATATCAAAAGTTTTGCACAACTCAAATCCTTCCATCCCACGACACATCGTCCTTTTCTTGATCAGAAAAACTGACACGTTTGGCTATTTTTTTTGCACCAACTACTGCGACATACCGGAAGAGGGGGCAGGAACAATGGAAGGTGATGGTCACACACAATAAAATTAGTTTTTCTGAGTGGGCAGGCTTTCGGCTTTTACAAGCTCGGCTCCTTATCACAGTCTTGTAAAGGTTTGTGTATATTAATTATCTTTCGCTAAGACTAACGTACAAAGTCAAATAATAAAGTAAAAGTTTGAAATACAAAATACAAATTTGACACGGCAACTCACAAAAGTATTTAGAACGATGCGGCTCTAAATGTGTATGTACATTTACATGTACACACTTCTCGTCTACATCTTTTCTACAAATTTACATCACAAGTATTAATGATCCTATTATACTATACAATGTACGGAGGAGGACTGCTTGATTTTGTCTCAACAACGCGTCCCAAGCCTCTATTTGGTGATTCATATATATTAATATTTAATATGTATGATAGGAGGTAATAATAATCAACATGTGTATTCACGAATGACTTTGTCCACTGCTACTCCTACTGAATATGTATGTATAGTGATGATATACACGATGCGGGTACATAAAACAGGTTAAGTATGTATGTATAATAGTATTGTACATGATAAGTGAGTTTTCCACTGAGGACACGATAAGCTAACTGCTGCCTGGGATGACATTAATTAAGGGTCAGATTAATAAATATGCTACTGAGTTGATTTTTATGTAGGGGTGACATTTGGGGTGGAAAAAGTTGTACATATTCTGATTTCACTTTTGACTTTACTTTCGATTTTTTTTCGCAAGCATCCGTTAGTTTGTGTGTGTTCCACCCAAGAAACAAGGGACGGAAGTGGAGAAGAAGACGACGACGGGTGAAGGAGAAGAAGGCCGAACTTCATCATCTGAAGTATCGGCTGACTAGGTGGTGGTGCTTAATAGGGAAACCCTTTCAGATCAAAAGAGTAAGTGGTGGTGGTAGTGGTCGTGGCGTGACCTCGGCATAAAACTCTGACTCTCCTCTCCCCCTCCATTTTTTTAGCACTGGAATTCCATCCTGGGTTGATTCGAGCAGCACAACGCAGTGGATTCCTTATATGCTCCCTCTCTCTCTCTCTCCAGAGGAAAAGGGTCCAGGGAAGGGGTGTGGTTGGTAGCAGCGGGTTATGCTTATTGGCCACTCGGAGAGCTGTCTTCCCATTACATGAAAGCGAGTGGCATAGTTGGCCACCTACTTGGTGATGGGGTGATTAGGAACAGCCACACTCCGAGACGATGGCATCTTTCAACACGGTGACCTCCAACTTGGGCTTGCTTGGATTGACAGAGTTGATATGGATGACGTCCAACTCTGCCAGCTTGGTGGGGGCGCAGCAGGGTCGGGGTACAAAGCCTTTGCCCTTCTTTTCGTGAAGGATGTGTTGAAAAATGGCGTGGGTGGAGGAGTATGAGACCCGCTTGGCATTGCAGCGACCGACGCAGACATGCGCGTCAAACTCTGCAGGCTCAATGATCACTTCTGAGATTCCCAGATCGGAAAATTTGATTTTGAGAGATCGTCGACAACAAGTCTTTCCCCGTCGAGTCTTGGTACAGTCGACCCCACTTCGGGGCTTGTTCAGCTTGAGGGCTTGCAGCGTCGAGGGTAGAACAGAACGTCGAGTTCTGTTCTTTGACATTTCACTCGTCACGAGGCGCAGACGGGCGGGAGTTGACGAGGAATCTAGCGGGGAGCAGGAAACAGTGAAGGGACGACTAGGGTTCATTTTGTTCTTGCGGGAAAAGAGCCACGAGGTCACTGCACTCGACACGTCGTAACTTCTGTCGTCGCCACCGAGGATTTTCGTGGCGTTGAGGAGGGGGCGACAACCCTCGGGGAGCTCCAGTTCCGCCCTCTTGATGCGGATAATTTTCCCGGATTCTTGATCTTTATTTGAGTTGATGTCAAAGTGGAATGTCGTCGTGTTATCTTCTCCATCTAAGGATAATAATTAGAGAAGAGCTTGATCAGTGATTGAACTCGCATTATTTTACATATGGCAGCATGAAACAACAATGGAAGCCAGTAAGCAAAGCATAGTAAAGGCTCAATAAAAACCAGTGTAGAGAAATAATATTTAGCAACATTTCAGATTGTGATTATACGGCCTGGATGGGAGAAAGAAAACTCGTTTTAACTAGCTGGACCATTGTTTGTAACAAAATTGAGATTGTTTTGACCAAATGGAAATGTGCATCCTCGCGTCACCTGCTCTCATATAATACGTTCACATGTAGCTTCTCTGACTGTCAGAGAGAGATCCACTGCATGCATATAGATAGTGGATATTTATGTAATATTTGCAAAAGGTACCTTTGCCATCACATCCTGACAATTGTGACAAATGGTATCTGTTTTTTTTCCCTGCTCTTGTTTTTTTATTAGGTTCACTTTTCAAGAAGCAGATTTGTTACTTAATGCCGTGGTTGGATCAAGAATAATCCCGTTATTTGTGAGACGGACGGGTGAAGAAATCTCCAGAACGTACCTACTCCCATTGTTGTACAAATATTGTTTAAGTGTAGGAATGATGACCACTACAAGTTATTTATTAGAGGACACGGTTATGCATGTTCATGTAGATAGTGGTGTGTGGTTGTTGTTTTCATCGTTATTATCAACTCCCATTATAATTAACCACAGGTAGTAGTTTCTCTTACTACATGGTAGCCACCGGTTCAAAAAGCTTGTGAATTTATTGTGACTGTTGTATAATTTAATGCCACCGTGTCCTCAAATAGTTGGTCGTTATAACTCATGTCCATGGGTCGTCTTTCTTTTTTATGCCTCGAGAAGATCTCTGCTTCTTTTTCTGCTCCTTCTGCTGGTGTCGAAGTTCTCAATCAGGATGGTTTATGGGGAAATGTCGGTGATGGTGGTGGTCAGTGGTCATCCTGCACCAATTCATTAACATTCTTCTTTAAAAAGCTGAGAAAAATTGTTGTGTGAGCTTGAGCTTTGCCATTCTTCACGCAGCAGAAGAATACGTACACACATATGCAAGACGAATGACGACGAAGAAGCCGAAGACAAATAAGAGCCTATAGGTCAGCCAGACTACTAGAACAGCTACTCAACAATAAATTTATAAACTGGTTGCTCGTTGTCTTGCTGGTTGTTTGTTGGGCCCCTGCTTTGCCATTAAGAAACAATTAATTCCGGCTTGGTTGCATATTTTATTTGTGCAGCTCAAGAAAAAGAAGAAGAAGGAGAAGAAGAAGGAGGCAGTGCTGTGCTTTTATAATTTTTAGATGGTTCCCCGCTGCCAGTGCTCAATTATTAATTATAAGTTATTGAACAGCAGCAGAGCATTGATGGCTAAAGTTCGATTTGATGCACTTGAATGACCCCAATTAGTGCGTGGTTATTAATATGTCGTTGCCTTATTCCTCCTCCACCCACATTGGTGCTTGGGATTTATTTACGAGACCAGTCGTGTATGTAGTAGAAGACGGTTTAATAAGTAAATAAATAGCAAATAAGTATTTGGCGAGGACCCCGACTCACGCCTCGCGAAACTGTAATTATTATTGCATAGAAGAGCTGGTTATCCTGTTGGACTTGGACCGTGCATGAGCCGACATGTTACATTGACAGGAGGGAGGAAAAGTCTGGAATTTGCTGATAAAGTATGACAGGAGGAATTCGCTGTTTACAACAAATACAACACGGTTTTCAAGTAGCTCATCTGCTCTGATTTGCCATTGATGGGTGAGAGTTGAGCTGACCAACGGGATAAGCGGGTTGTTGTGCAACCCTTTATAACTGTCGCAATCTACAAAACCGTAGAGATAGCGAAAGAGAGAGAGAGAGAGAGAGAGAGGAAGGAGATGAAGAGAGTTGCTCCCGAATAAATCAGATCATAATCTTTGCCTCTTGAGCCAAAGATAGTTTAAGAGTAACTTGAGCAATTAAAAGGAAAATTGTAGCAGGTTCAATTGTCTACTTGATTTGAAGCTGGTATTTTTTAATACTCGCTTTATAACCAGATTTGACGTGTCCAATAATTGGGCTGGTGGTGGTTGGAATTTCAAATAATTGTTGCATAAAAACTGCTTTGATTCAATTTTATAGGCATGCCTGCCTGCATGGGGACCAGTCGCATAAAAAATCGTGTTATATCAAACGATGATCACAACATGGCTGGCTAACTATAGGCATTGCAGTCACGGGATTACCATTGATTTCTTGTGGATGGTTTGGCGTCGGAGACAAAGTGTGCCACCCAACAAGTGCCATAGTTTGGTGTTTGATTACGGAACAGGACAAGACAAGTGTCACCCGAGCCGGTGATCACCATCTCCACGCTGATATTATGTATGGCTTTCTGGAGATATTTTTTTAAAGATGCGTGACTCACTCCCCGTTGGTGTCGTGATTGGTAATTAACGACTCACGACGACGACGACGACGACGACGAAGAAAACCCTCTTTGACTAGCTCTGTAGAGCGCGTAGGCTAGGAATATCTCGTAGATATGTGTGTAAGTAAATATATATGCATAAGGTGATGTCAGGCCTTGTGGTGGCTATTTTTGAGCCTATTCAAGAGCCAACTCTATATTTGGGTCCCGCTTCATTGACACCACCCATCAAGAGGGATCAGTATACAAACACAATGCTGCTAAAAATAAATATTATGCTATCTACCTATGCAGTCATATATTTATGTGGCTATATAACAACCAGCTATCAAATGACATGTCCTCCTCCTCCTGCATTTCTGGAAGAAGGCGACAGGTGAGGTGACTGCCACCCCAAGTTTTACGAGCAAAATTCCATTCTGGGGATGACTCCAAGCCGTTTGAAGCTTTATAGCCCACGATGATAATGAGCATCGAGGAATTATTGCTTGCTACCACTCTTCTCGTATAAGTTGATGAGTTGCATTGCATGCAATTCACGCTACACGAGAGACGGATAAGAGGTGAAATTGCACAGAGGACTCCACCTCTCTCGCAAGCCCACTTCACACTTAAACAGGAAGATTATCATGACAAAAAAAGCACGATACGTTGATATGATGGAACTCTGTGCATAAGAAATAAGACGAATCCTCCTCATTTTTTGTGCCAACCGGTTGTTTTGGGATTTTCCAGAAGATCATCACCACCACAAACGGCTGCTGCTGCTGCTGCCTGGAACGACGACGACCAAGACGATGACGACTCATCATGTCTGTCAAAGTTGGAGACCACACCGGTATCTAATATCTAAAGGTGGTGCATGTAAACACCAGCGGTATCAGGATTTGCAGACCAGCAGCAACAGGTGGTGGAATATATAATAGGAATGAAGCCATGATAAAAAAATTAGAATTTTCTTCGAGTGTCGTCCACTGCTACTTCCTCCGGTTATAAACTTGCGTAACAAAGAGGCAACAATCAAAATCATGATGATGATGAACCCGCAGTAGTCGTAGCCTGACTAGCGCAAAGGAGGAATGAAGAAGAAGAAGAAGGGTGTTGGTTGTGGAGTTCAAGTAGTTATTTCACAAATCCACTATACATGCTACAGCCAGCTTTTAATTCTTAATTCTTGCTCATATCATCTTTAGGGCCTTTTTAAAGGACGAGATTTATTGCACGACTCACTCAATAACTTAACAACTCGTTTCTTTGTTTGTATCGAGAAGCGATAAAATAGAGACGCGGTCGACCAATTGAACAAGTCTAGTTGTTGTCTTGCCTACTTTGCTCGGCCTGCCTCGTGGTTCACCAGAGTCAGTCATTGTCCGCCAATTTTTTTCAACTCGTACATACTTTTACTTGCGTCAACTGGACACTGGTTCGGGTAGAATTAACTTTTTCTCGTTCCATCTGCAGCAGCTCGGAGATAAAAAGTCATGATCCTGCATCAATACATAAGTAGTCTCAAGGTGTTTCGGACAACCACGACCCTAAAACTCTTGTCTTCGTCGTCGTCATCTTCGACCTTTGAGAGGATGAGTAGCTATGCATGCCTGGGGGAGGGGAGGAGGGTTTCTTTCTATCTGGGTCTGTACGTACTTCCCCCAATTTGAGGAAAGAAACAACGGAATGACAAGAGGAGTGGAGATGATGTGAGCGAGAGAGGCGTGAAGTTGAGGCTGGTATCTGGCTGTGAGTGGGGTTTCCCATCCACCTACTCCTACCTGCTCGTTGTCTCAAGGCTGTGTCTAATACTGTGAACAGTTACGCCACACCACAAACTCATCGTCATGAATTGGCACAAATTCTTGGTAGTCTTGGTCCCAATTTAACCCTCGGGCTGGCTCCACTGTTGGGATTTTCCGGTAAAATCCCATTCTTTCCTGATTTCGGAACTATATACGTACCACAACCCCTTCACGCCTCATTTCCCATGGAATAAGGAAGGGAGGATTGTATGCTAATTAGATGGGAATTTGCTAGTGTAGCAGTAACCCTTTTGCTAAAGGTTGACTGAACGTATGTAGCTAAAACTGCAAAATTTGCATTGCCACATTTTGTAGTATGCAAATTTACGTTTAAAAAAATGTGTCAATTAATAAAGTCTCTGGCACCCTCTGACCGCAAAGATGTGTGCGATTCGACTCCAGCAACAGCAGGCATCTTCTTGATCATCGTTATGATATGGATCCAATTTCACTCGTGATTGTTCATTCCGTTAATTTTTGCACGTACGTATGTACAGCGTTTCATTTTACTATTATCTCATTTCAATCATGCCTCGCTCTACTAAGCTCCAATGTCTTGGCACAGTCTCCTCGCCACTTATTTACTACTATCACTCTTTGCAAAATCAGTCTCTACGAAAAATTTTGCACAAACAAGCCGAGTTTTAATCAATCCTTTCTCCCTTTTGACGTGAACATCTCAAAAAACACGCCCAAACCAACTCGAATTATAATAACATTTCTAACTAATCATGAAGTGGTTGATTAGGATTTGTTTTTGAATAGAGTAAGCGTTTGCAAAAAAGTTGTTGCCGTTTCCAAGAGAGGTGAATGATTGGGCCGGCAGTAGTCGTGTTTGCCCACGAGTTTGTTGGCGAACACTTTTGCTAATTCATAAATAATGTGAGTTGTATGCAGTTTTACAGAACTGAGGTGCATAATTTAAATGTTTTACAAGACAGAAATTTTTACGTTCCGAGACAAATGATTCTTTTCGGTGTTAGCAATCTGACTAATCCCCCCACATATTTATCATGCAGGTGTATCAAATTGCTTATTTTTGATCCTATGCCAGAAAGCAGAGACAACTGCATAGAATAATAATGCAAGCATTTTAAGCAAGAATTTTAAAAAATAAGATAAAAATTCCTTCTATTTACCTGTAATTCCTTCATCGTAAAAAATGCGTATTTTAGTGACTGCATTTTTTCTCCTGCGTTTCGGACCTACGTCCTTCCACGCGTCTTCTTTCCGTTTCCTCACGTTGGTCATGTACTCCTTGTAGGCAGCCACGTACTCTTCCTTGCTAATGTTCAGGATTGGCTGAAAAGTAGAGAAAAAAATCCATTTATTGTAAATGATCTCGATATTGCGATCTGACTCAGTTTTCTAGAGAATTGAAACACGCTGCTGGCTTGATCTTACTCCACTTCATGCACCGACCTCACATTGTAAGCAAGTCGATCATCAGGATGTATAACTGCTCGTCTGCTGACCAAGAACGAAACATGTTCTCCACACCTGAGTCACATCATACATGCAACCTTATCATCAACGTGGGCAAAAAGTTGGAGAGCGACAATGTTGTGACGAGGGTGAGCAGATGAGCAATTGCATGATGCAGTTAGGATTTGGAGCAAAAAGTCGCAGAGCGACAGGTGGCAATAAAGAATAATATAAGAATGAAAAGCATATTACGAGTGATGATCAAAGACTCGTCCGACAAGCCTTTTTGTCTTATATAAGGCTATACAGATTAATAAATAAATTGAATTTTTCATGGCGCCTCTGATACAATATTTCCGTTAAATGCGATATATTTTCGACTTGAGAGAGTTGCACTTTTATAATCCAGACGAGGAGCCAAAATGATACGCAGGAGCCACACATTACACGAACTTGTGTCAATTTTTAGTACTTGTCATTCTAATTTCATGACGTTTTCACGATTACGTGGAAGAATTAAGTGCCGATATGAATAGATTGAGCTAATAATATGCAGCCTCGACTTGTTGCTGGTGATGGTTTGATAAGAGGAGTGAAAAGTGAGTGATACATAAGCGATGATACGCGAACAAAGTTCAGCATCAACAGCAGTTTTTTTTTCATCGACGATCATACCAACGAAAGAAGTTCTTCTTCTTCGCCTAATGGCTTGTTTGACACCGTGGAGAATTGGATATGCGGTAAAAATGGGACATTTAGCGTATATCTGGATGTACATACATACGTACAAACATGCATACATACATGCATGATGGGGAGGGCTTATCAGTTGCAGGGGTCGCAGCAGCTTTTCAGTGCATTTGGGTTATTCTTATTATTGCCAGATTTAATTATCGCACAACCACCAAATAAGTAACTTATTGCTACCATAAGACCAATATGTGTCCACACACGACCACCGACGGTCGTCAAATATTTTGATTTTAGTGAGGCTTGCTCTTGTCCATGAGTGAACCTCTCACTTCCTACTCGCATAAAGGAGGATGAATAATAAATAAGTGGTTCAGTCACTCAAGGCGACCCATGAATGAATGAGTCTCTCTCTCTCTCTCCCTGGGAAAATGATGTTTTTTTGGTAAATATTGCCTCATCCAATTGAGTTAGCCTATAAATAAGAAGAAAATGAAGTATGCATGCCTACGTCGCAGGCAGGCCGAGGGGAATCCCAGCCCGACACTAGAGTGACATTGATTGCATGGTGCTCAAAATAAGTTACGACACCCAAGTTCACAGGTTAGTGCAGTTGGGGTTGAGGACTGGAGCGTGTGAATCCGTCATTGATAAGCCCATTGTCACACGTTGGTGACATCTCATAACCTTTTATTGGCATAAATTGCTCTAATACATGTCCACTCTGGAAACGTTTAATGTGCATTCCCGTCACCTGATGATAATTACCTTTTGGCTTAACGTAATCTCTTAAACTGTTTGCGCGATGAAACGCCACAACCACGAAGCCACTCGACATTCCTCTCATAGCTCGGCTCAGTCTGCCACAACAACAATGACACTTCTCTCACACGTCATGATGATTTGCATGGGTTACTTTCATTCACAGATTCCTCTGTATCTCTGCATGTATACCGATTTAGATGCAAACATTGGACCTAAACTTTCCATAACGACGATAGGAGATAACTTTGCCAAATTGCGCGTACACAACTAACCAACTAACTAACGAACAAACGAACTACTAACTAACCAAGTATGGATATTGGCATGTTGCGAATTTGGTGGTAGAATTAAAACCAGTCAAGTGTTACAATAGGCATGGTTGTCAATCTAGCAAGTAAGCAATCCCTGTCGGCTTTCCTAAATGAGATGGGGAAACCCTGAAAACGAAGGCTTTTCACAAGAAACTCATTTAACCGAATCCACAACACGGATGCAATCCATTCCTTGTAAATCAATGCCACCCTTATTGTAGCCGATACATCAGCAGAGTTTTTATCCTCCTCACTTCTTAATACACATTTTTAAACCCAGCATTCACTCATTCACTCAGCCACTCACTTACTTAGGCAGGCAGAGGCATTAAGTAAGGTTGGCTAGATAACAGACGCAGCAGGATTTTCCAGCAAAGGCGGATCAGCCGATGTTTTGCGTCGACTCTCGTCGTCCAGTAACAAGTGCAATTAAATTGAAAGGTGCCAAAGAGTGAGAGCTTGAGTGAGAGTGAGATGATATAATAGGCATTAAAACTGCATGAGAGACCACTCCAAGAGTCGTCAAAGGGGGACCGTCACGGAAACCAAGTGGTGTTGAAACATGTTTAATTTGTTGTGACAACTCCATTCTTGCCTCTGCCGCCGATAAGTATGACCGCAAGCCTATGCATCGGGTAACAATAACACGATCAACACAAAAAAAATATATATCTCTCCTGAATTCCTGTGTCGAACATTACTGGTTCGTGCCAGCAGTTGTTCTCGAAAAAGTTATGCACGTATGAGTCGACGGCAGGTGATGATGACCAGAACAAGTCAAAGGTTCGAATTCTTCTGTGGTGACCAATTTCTAGTATAGTGCAGCCATGTATTGGTGGGAATCCCCAAAAACAAGCTTGAACTGGGTCCAATTTATGTACCACATATTCATTCATACATAATCAAGGGTGAATAGATGATGATCAGCAAATCCGGACCAGGTTGTTTGTTAATTCTACCTTTTTTGACTCTCCTCGGAACCATTGGCATTTCCCTCAATACATCATTTTTTTCTGGTCCCATTATTGCCATCTCTAAGTTTTTACCCCCACCACGCCACTTTCCACTTGGATTATGCGAACAACAGGAAAAAATTAATGGATGCGATAAAGTGCAACGACATTTGTCTTTCTCCTCCGTCTCAGGTATCTGGTAGGGTCCCGTTAAGGTCATAAATGTGAATCTGTATGAATTATGAACATATAGGTTGTGAGTTACCTACCTCACAGAAGCTGAGCAGATTGGTTGGTCGTGGTATGCAATTAATTGGGACACACATCATATCATGATAGCAATAATGTAAAACATGTGAGGTAGGTTGTCTGTTTCTTTGGGAAATTATGGAAATTAGTGTGCACAGTGCTTTTGCCTATTACTAAACACTAATGAGTGAGGTTGCTGGTGTGGCGCACAGGTACTTACTTACGCACAGCATGCCAATATCCATTCATTGTTTCTCTGAGTGAAGGTAATGTGTGGAATTTGCATATACCTGAATGAAAAAAAGCGATACCGTGTTGACGTCATGGGGAGCTGACTCTTGATACATTAACTCTCGGCTCATCGTCAACCAAACCTCTTTTTTTGGCATTCCCACACTGGACTCCAGTCCCACTTCCTCGAATCTGACATCCAGTTCCACCCATTTAAACATTTCTTCCATGCAATAACCCGACTACACATGAAAATTGTAAGTGCACCACTTTTTAAGCAGAGACGATGACGTTATAGGCTGGCTGGTTGTCGATGTCCAAAAACTGACAAAAAACTCTTCTTCTGCATGGTTGGAAAATTAGTTATCGCCGCAACCTTCGCAGGAATTGCTTGCACCCCGGCATTATTATTTTCCGTTTTTATTGCAGTGATGCGAGTAAGGTCAGTTACACCGAGGGTCGTTTACCAAGTGAATTTGTACGAGTAACAAAATAAGGAAATGAGAAGATTTTTTTGTTACTGCAATAAAATGACAGATCTCTCACTCACTCTCGCTCTCTCTCTTTTCCTCAATTTTTGAGTTGTGTAAGTCCACATAAGTCCACGCATATAAGAATGACCTCAAGCCAACATGACTTGTCAAAAGCTGAGCAGAATATGAAAGACAATTCAAGAGTGTGAACGATTTTCTTGGAAGCCGTCTTGTTGACAGGAGGGGGAGGCGGCCGAGATGATGATGCATTCACCAGTTTAGAAACTGTTGCATAGCAAATAAATGTGCAAGCAACGTTCGTCTCTATGTATCTCGTGGCAATAAAAGATGAAACAATAATAAAAAATATGACTGCATTGTTTTATGGTCGGTACGTACATATTGACTGAATCCATTCTGATTGACCTACAAACAGCGCGACAAGGGTCACCCCCACAACGCAGCCAGCAAAACACTGCATCTGTCCCATCAATGAAATGAAGCGTATCTATGCGTCAGACTCTGAGCCTCAGGTGAAATGCGAAAGGCTAAAAAAAGTGATGGCTCATCGGCACAAAAAGAACTTTTCAAATGTCAACAGTGGGAATTACATCACGTTCATTTAATTAGCTCTCATTTGGCGTTCCCCTCTTTTGTTGTCACCTCCACGAGATGCTATGAAAATATTGCAGGAGGAGGCAGCCGCACAAAACAATATGCGTTTCGCGTTATGCCAAATGATGTGCTAAAATATGCGGCCCTCATATTCCAGCCCAAGCTCATGCATAATGACGCATTTTTAGAGAATGAAATCTGTCAGAGGAACGAATGGCTGCATGTTCATGTTACAAGCTCATTCATCTCTACGCACATAATTCCTCCATAATTCACACACTACTCACTCACCGTTCCACTAACTCAGTCAAGAGGAAGTAGTAGTATCTAGTCGGAGGAGGAGTAGGCTAAAAAAATTAACTTTTGAGTATGATCATTGCAGTGTGGCATCCCACCTCGTTAGTCGTCGTCGTCGTTGTCGTCGTCTGTCTTAATTGAGACAAATGAGGGGTGAGGAATTGATCAGCTAGTTACTTAGCACTACTTGCACGAAACAGGCTTGTTTTCCTTATATAGAGTTCTCTAACCACAAGAGCAAACAATCAGTAGTGGCAGGAGCAGCATAATATGTTAAGTAAGTGTAAAAGTTGCACTAACCAAAAACAAACAAGTACATTATATAACACAATTCCCAGAATGGTATGTGTGCATGGATGCGTGCACCAAGTGCCATTGAAACACATAGGCAGATAACCGGCTATTAAGTAACAACTTATTAATATGTAATAAGATGATAAGATTCTGGATGGACAAAATCTGCAACTGCCAATCTCTCTCCATGAATCACCATCAAGTGCATTTTTTGCAGCGAGGGAACCCCCGTTACCGTTTACGTCTGTGTGTATAATCTGAATGTGTACGAATGTACATATCTGCACGTTGATGTGGATACAATGCAACACTGATTAGGACAAACCCAAGCAGGGGAGCAAAAAATCAAGATCCTGTTTTAAGCTCGTATTCTGAATCCCTCTTAATCAACGTGGTGCATGACTGACTCGGCGCAGGTGGTTCATGGATCATCACAACAGTAAAAAGTGGCTCAGCACAGTGACCACCAGTGCTCGAAAAGAGCTCATCGTCATGAATAGTCCTCCTCCTCTTTCAAGCGAAAAGTGTTTCCTTTTCCAGAAACACCAGAAATCCCAGCCGGCAAATTCCACAGAACTCTTGCCTTCAACCATTTATGCAACTAACTCACTTCTCCGAACTCACAACGTGCATTGCTACTTAATGTCCATAACAATTGCCTCAAAACACAACAATGCTCCACTTTGGCACACAATACACACAAACATACCTAATTGTTTACCAAGCATTATCCTCCTCATCCTCGCTCGGGTTTATCCCAGCATTAGCAGTGTGGCAAACAAGGCAGGGAGATACCAACTCGTCTCTCACGTAACCAGAGCTGACTAGATTTTGTCCATATTTAGATGGATAATTGCATCCCATTCTCCGACACGAATGCAACAACCCTGAATCGTGTATCTTAATAAATGTTCAAGTGTTCCTCCTCCTCAAGGGGAGGCTCGAGTTGATAAAAGTATGGCTGCATTCCTTTTCCTCCGAGCCATCATCATTACTGTGCTATTAAACGTAATGTGCAGTATGTTACCTCAAGCCGATTGGAGTGCATATGTACATTGGCAATTAGCACTCATCCGCGTCTCAATGACTCCACAAAGAGAGTGGATCTTAATTTCAAGTGTAAACAAATTGTTTGTTTCTCTTTCTCTCCAGCATCGACGTACACAACCCTTTTATTAATTAGGACTAAATTGGTGAGCAAATTGCACTCATGCACGTGACCAAGACGATGATCCACACGCTACTACATAGTTGGTCAAGTTCCAAATTATCATTATGCATAAAATGACATCTGGGAAAATTTGTGCTGCGTTGGCTTCTCTAATTTTCAATTTTTTCCCATTTTCTGTCGTGAATGAGACCAGTGAATCAAAGAATGAGAAGAAGTGAGCCTTCTTCTGCGACTTGAGATGTGTGTGTGTACGTGTATGTGCCAAATCTTTCGTCTTTCCTCATCATATCCAAATGTGTGATACCTATTATTCCAAGAATCTTGATATTCCCCACGCTACCACTTTCTACCAGTATAAACTGCATACACACACACACACATCAGTCATGCCTATCATTTTTGTTTCTTGGCTTCATCAGAATCTACACGACTCTGTTATTTCTTCATGACTTTGCGGAAGTATGGGAAAATTGGAGTGGTGTTCATAGTCACTCCTTATACTGCAATAATGCAGTTAAACTAAGGAGTCTAGAAATTGGTTTGCTTTGTGCATTGGGCTTGAACCCTGCATAACTTGTGTAATAATTCACAGGAAACTGACGAGGAGGACTTGTTGCTGCATTGCATCACTTCACGAGAAGACACTCGGGTATATGTTTTCACGAGTCATCACCACCAATGAGATTAAAAAATTGCAAAAGGTAGTACGACTATGTAGGCAGGCAGATGGGTATGTTGGCAGCGACTGCACAATAATAAATATACCGACTGATATGATAACCAGGTTATTCAACGTCTCAAAAATTTCACAAGTTTAACATGTTACACAACAACAACGTCTCTGCATTTTTACGAAGCATTGTTAAGGAATGCTGAGGAGGCTGTAATTTTGAAAACAATCCACACACAACAATAATACCTACAAGTGTAAGCGTCTCATCACGCATCAGGGTGATATCTGGCTCGCTCGCACACGCAGCCAAGTCGTCGATGATGAGTGAGTGAGTGAATTAAATGAGCAAGGATTAAGCCATTACGGGCGAAAAGGATGAGGTTCTACTTATTACAATTCCCTGACAATTCTCTCTGAGTGGACAATGAGTTTTTTTCTGGTGGGAAAGCCATTCATACCATTTTCGTTGGTGTGGGATAAGAAGGCCACATACGGAAGTATGTATCTCATTGTTTGACACGCGAACAATGGACAGCGTAAGATGCGATCTCTCCACTGGATTCTGCTGCAATTAAGACGAGCAGACAGAAATCAGAGGAGCACTTGATGATGAGGAGGAGGAGGGTAGGTCGTCGTCGTTGTCGTCGTCATTGTGGGCAAATGTCCATAAGGAATTTGACCCCGGTGGTGGTGATGCTATGCCAGAAACTGTGCCTGTTTGTGGGTGCTTCTCCTCCTATGATGCTCTATGTCTCTTTGTTTCAACAACACGGATGACATTTTGATGGAGACAACAATGGTTCATTACAGAAAGCAGGGGTAAAAAAAGGGTATGAACGGAGTAATTGATGTCTTTTTCTCAATGAGTGAGTGATATCGTCGTGTTACCCTCTGACCAACATAACAGTCCGATTCACGTCTGCCCCACAAATGCATAATAATCTTAATCTCATCATCATCATCAGCATCATCGGCAATGCAATGCAGTTATTGGGGTTGAGAAGTGGAATGCAAAAGTGCAACAACACAACAACACATCAGTCATTCAATTTTTAGACCCGATGAGACTGGTTCTTTTACTCTCATTTTGGTCATTGCCATTATACATCCACTTCCACCACACACACACACGACGGCTTTTTTAACATTCCCGTTCACTCATCCCTCACACATTACACGGGATTACATAGAAAAAATACAAGATGAATGAGCATGGTTGAAATATGCAGTTGAAAAAGTTATCTTGTTATCGATTCAGTCAAGACTCGATTTAACCTCACATTACAAAAATCACCGCCAGTTGATCAAGCAGAAATACAAGATGTACGTGAAGAGACGAGTAATAGAGACAAGGTCGGACGAAGACCTACCTTTTGCATGGTTGGAATGTAGGCATTCTCCAAGCCTAATTCGCGGAGAATGCTGTTTCGATAGTGAGCCTGGTCGTTACCATCGTCGCCATCGTCGACAACGACATCGTCGCCCCCCTCCTCCACCAGTGAAGATTCCTCCCAGGGCAGGTTGCGACTACTACTGCTCGTACTCCTACTACTCCTCCCCACCTGTTCCCCCTCAGCTAGGGAGTGATGGTGGGAGTGGTTCTTCCCCTGTGGGGGACGTCCCTGCGACAAGCTGAGGAGGAGGAGGAGGACGTAGAAGGGAAATAAGTTGAGGGGGAGTTCCATCCTGCCCACCGTTACGCACTGCATTTGTTCAACAACACACACTATTCGATGATACTAGGTTTCGCATTATCAAGATAAATACGACACAATCAGTATTCGTGAAGATCGTGACCAATCTTAAAAAACTCTCGCTTTATTTGAAGCAATGTTTTCACACAATCCTTGCTAAAACGGAGCACAGGCGTCCTTGTCTCACTTTAATTGTTGAATGAATAATTCCGGGTGATGCATTTCTTCCTTCCGTTCTTTTATGTGGGGCTAACTCTTTGATGATATGATACTCGTCTCACTCTGCCACCACGATGCGTCCAAATTGTCTCGTGCTTAATAACAGTAGAGTACAGTAAGTTGTTGGTTGATGCTGTTTTCACTCGGACCACTGCCGTTCTACTACTGAGTGCCAGAGATGAGATGAGACTGGTACTTATATGCCATCACAGGAAAAGAGATGATCTGCAGCCTTATCACCACCATTCCACCAACTCCAACTCTCAGTTCCACCATGACTCGCTACCAGCTCACTACTACTCACTCACAGCCAAACCCCCACATATTGCAATATTTGTTATCACACTTTTCTCAAAAATCTCACTTTTCTTCTTCTTCTTCGTCCCACCTCAAAGTATTTTATCCGTTCCGGAAACAAACAAGAATGGAATGTCTCATGTATGTATTTGCTTCTCCTCAGCCCACCAATTTTTGGGCCTCTTCAAAAAAGATGGGGTGGAATGATGCCTTCGTTGCTTTGCTTGCCTTTGAGATAAACAAACACGACGAACGATGATACATTACGTGTTTCGAAAAAAGAAGTCATCCCAGACCGTTTCATTTACTTATGCGAGGTGCTAAATGATTAAGGAAGCATTATCTCTCGAGGGGAATTAAATGGATGGATGGTTGATGGGAGCCACTACTACCATACAACTGCATACGAGATAGATGCGGACATTGATTCTTGATAATTGGTAGTGACGGCCGGGTTGGCCAAGTGGTATCCAAGCAAACTGCACCACTAACAACGGACTAATTGCAAATTCTTTCAAACCAGAATTAAAAGCAGACAAGAAGAACTTCTTCTTTGCATTATTCTCTCCTCTCCGTCCTCCGATATCCTCATGTGAGACAACCGGCTGTATACCTTCTTTCTTTATGCCTGCGAAAACGTGAGGTGCTTCACCATTCGGTTTGATGGCCATTATCCTAACCCTGCTGCTGCTACTGCTGTGTGGTTGGTACTGCAGTTTGGCGAGGTTATTATCTCTCCCTTAATCTCCATCTCAGCACTTTATCAAATCAGCCAGATTACATTTCACACACGGAGGGATCAGCACGAGATCAGACAAAGTTGATATCCCCCAAAAAAATCTACCACAACTGGATGGATGGATGTTTTATATTCGGTTGGGGACATTACACCAGATTTTTTCCTGCTTTTTTCAAATGCTACATACTTGACCCCAAGTCAGTCAGATGCGAGAGATGCAATTTTTATCTCAATTAGAATTAGAAAGGACAACAACAACTACTACAACAACGTCCTATCGATATGTAATCTTGGATGGATGGGTCAAAAAATGGGAGAGATTTGCTCCTGACAGGTGCCACTATTTTTCCTATTTACTGTTGCGAATTAAAAAAGAACCTCTTTTTCTTGTGCATGTTTGTACATCTATGAATGTACTTTCGTGCAAATATATGTATGTAATAAGTATCCGAATGTACATACGTACGTGCATGCACACAATGTACGAACGTAGGTGCCCCTCATTCACGTTTTTCTCGAACGGCTCACTCACTCACTCAGAGATTCATAGATCGATCCTTCATCCAGTGTTGCACGTCATTTGCAAAAAAAAGTCAAAGATAGAAACTTGTTCGATCACATTTTAAAAAGAGGTAGGAAAGCTGACCAAGTTCGTCATCCATCCAGTGTGGTCATGATTCGCTTCAGATGGATGGCACTGTTTTTCGGAACAAGAAAAATCAAGTAGGATTTAATTTGAGTAATCTCCCCGCTTGTCAGGTTAATAAAAGTGGAATTAAACAGGGAAAAGTTCATACGTTAAGCGAAGAGATTTGTTGAAATAGCAAAGCTCTTGGTTACAAAAATGGCAGTGGTGGTCTGGTCCGCGGTGGTCATTACCGGTCTCAAGAGTCAGGAGGTAAGTATCATAGGAAGCCATGTATTAATTAATATTTTTAATCAAGAGTGAAGGGCTAATGTGATGAATCATCACTGATGATGCATTGGATGATCGAGAATTATCCGGTGGAACAGCCCTCTATTAAATTTAAATTTTGAATTTTACGACCATTTTATGGCAGAATAAATTAGAGGCAAGTAAACGACTATTGGTGCTTTGGCAATGGGAATGTACGGCTTCTTATGGTTTGGCACTTGGTCTCAATCTCCGTCCATACGCATACACTCATCTTCTTGTTGAAATGCATGTATTCCAAGTTATGCTTCCATTATTGACCACAAATGCGAATATGAGAACAACTACTATGCAAACGTCCGTCCTCGGTCGGGAAGGTATGGCAGGACGGAATAATCGTACGTAAAAGCTGAATGGATGAGTGAGAGAAGCAATGTTTTGGGTGAACAAGTTGAGCAATTCTTTCTGCATTACACACATAATTAAGGAGACGACTGATTTCCTATACGAGTCTCTAATCATTAATCATTAAATCGTAAAATGGCCATAAACCCTCCTCGCCATACAAGTTCAATTGTAATTAAACAATAAAATTGAAATGAACCCATTTAAAATATTTTAATGTTTACATTTCCAATTTCCAACATGTAAATATTTGGAAGGAGGCAAAAACAATAACCTCGAAAAGAGACGAGGCACACATTTGTATGGAGAGGAGAGCATGCAGTTGACATTACAAAAGTGCAAACGAGATCCATTACACCAAATTGCCAATATTTTCAATGGAAATATATGTACCAGTAGTTGTGGAGAGAGCATTGTGGTCACTTCATTACAATTACAAAGACCATTTATAAGCAATTAAGCGGCAGACAAACCCGTCTTATTATTGTTATTGTTTTCGTCTCCTCCTGTTGTAATTTCGCACAAATCATAACTGTCCACGCAGGAGCAGCACCAAACAAAGGCGAGAATCACTCAAATCCTTGCATGGCCACACACGATTGGAGAAATTCGATCATAAATCCGGTTGTAAAGTTGCAGCTCGTAATATCGGCTCAATCAATTTTGCATTCACATTCCCTCGAAACGGCAGAGGTTATATGTGGCCAAAAAAGTTGTGTGTGTTTGTTTTTTCTTATTAAGCATGATCATTCCTGCAATTTTTATCATCTCCCCGTCATCATTCCCATCCTTATTTACTCTCGAATTGAATTGGAGAGCAATAAAGTTAACTTTGAGATTCTTAACACTTTATGATTATTATTTAAGTATTTCTTTGTATGAATCCCAACCGCACCATTAGTCAGGCAAACAAAGAGCTATTGGCATCACGGCTTTGTTGTGGATGGTTGACATGAAATATGCAGGATTTACGAGCTTATCCCCAGAAACGGGTCTCTCATGAATTACCTTCTAAAAAACTTTGCTATTCAGAGCCAAGAAACGTTTCGTTTGGGTTTGGGTCGCTATAAAAAATGGAGTAATTCAGCATCGGCCAACATACACGGCATGATAATAATCAATTGCATTGGAGCACTTTATTCTCACATCCACTGCTGCGAATTGTGTGAATCCTCCATTTAATTCCCAATTTCAGGAGAAACGCTTTTCCAAAAGTGCATGTCAGTTGGCCATTTTATTGCGAGTTTTCGTGGAAGAAGCCACATTGGCCTCACATCTCATCATCGCATATCATCGGGTTACCTGGAAATTTGGATGATTGTAAAAGAGAGGAATGGTAAAGGTGAATCAAGACCTGTTGCTGCTAATGCAATATGAGATCAACTAATCGTAAGTATATGTGCAAGCCGATACACATGTACGTTATCATGACTGTGGTACTTTAAGTGTGCTTTATTGTGGTCATAACGCCAAAAGGCTCCTTCACTGCAGGGCATGAACTTGAGTCTCATGAAGTCGTCATCATGTGCAAATAGGTCTTTGGTGAAAGAACTTTGACCCTCGAGTGCAGCAACTTTTTTCATTCAACATCCAACCTATCTGCTCAGCTCTTATATTTCTCGGAATTAATTCAAGTCAGGGATGAGATGAGACACCCGGGTATTATTAGTCAGTTTTGGTATTGTGTGATTCCCAGGAATAGGCCATTGCATGAGAATAATTACTGCCGCAGAGTAAATAATTGTCACCAAAAGTATGTTAACGTCAATTCAATCGCATATAAAAATAGCTCTGCAGACTAAATTCAGTTCCACGAAAAAAACGTATACACAAATTTAACTCTGTCCTTGTGGCCTTATTCTTATGCCAAAATGCAAAAAGTTGTGTAATGCCGAATAAATACTTCTAGATACGTCATGAGACATGAAAACGATGCCGTCATCATTTTTTGACGGCTATATTCATCCTTTATTTATTATTCATCACAAATGGAAGGATCACGATCCGTTTCGCCCTTCTCGTCATCGACCATTTCATTATTCCATATTTCCTCCAAACATTTAGAGAAGATGCTAATAGGAAGTTTTTCCCCTCGAGCAATGTACTTCGGATTAGTCGTCGTTTTGCACCACCAGAACGTAATGAAGACAACATATTACGAAGTATTATTCGCACTAATAACTCTTTTCTACTAGGAATAGTACCCCCCTGAAAATGAGGAATGAATAGAGTTGAACTGCCGCCGTGAGCTCATCTCCAGAAAGTGATGGCGATTACGTTGCCGTTGTCGTCGTCGTCTTGGTCGTCGTCGTGTTTATATTTATCTTTTGGTCATAAACAATGCTCGAGATGATGAAGTCATTCCTTTTCTAAGATGCGTGGTTTGGTTGGTTAGCTGGTTAGTGCCTGGGAAGGAAAAAGGGCAAACGAAACCATATGCTACTTGACGAACTCTACGGCTCTAGAGGTCATGCAATGTCCTCTCAAGGTGGATGGACGCGAGAGAGGAAAAAACCAGGAGGGAGGGAGAGAGAGATAGAAAAAGAGCTTAAGTGGCCATAGGCCTTGAGTTCAAGTGGAGTAAACGCCTTCTGCCGAGGTGACATTTAATAACCTCGTGGGTGTCAATATTTCACCTGGAACTCATCCAGTGAAAATTCAATCCTAATTAAGGCGAGATCACGCCCGGTTAAAAACTCATCGCACACAATAAGCGGTGAAGTTTAGCGGATTTATGTGGAGGTGAAAGTGGTGGATTGATGAAGTATGAAGCTCAAAAAGGACACACAACGTCATTCACGAGTTTCCTGTCACATACATTTCTGCTGCTGCTGCCCACTGACTAGGAAAACAGTCGTCCCCTAGTCCATGTATATTTATAACTGCACCGTGGTCAAGCAAGAATATTAGGACCACTTCATTCATTCATCCA